GACGAGTGTGCCGATATCAAGAGTCAATACTGACGGGTTAGGAAGGGAGACATTCCCGATTAGGTTGGTGCCGTCTGAGCGGGCTGGAATGAGTCCACTGTCGGAGATGCTGAATTTCTTGAATTGGTCCAGCACTAGAATATCAAGTTAACTTCGCTTCTAGGATATGACTTGATTTCTTTCGGCTTACCTGGTGACATAATATCCTTATCCATAGTGACCTTGGACTTGAGCACACCCAAGTATGAATTGGTTACACCTCTGACCGACAGCGCCGTCTCCTTCTCGAACACCACATTGTGCACATACTCATTCCAGGTGGTCAAGTTGGTCAGTGGCGTTTCGATCTTGCTCACGCCTAGGGTGGTGTTACCCTTGATGACTTTGCCGTCGATCTTAGCCTGGCCCCATGCATTGTCTGCACCGACATCGCGCACGAACAGATTCAATGTGATCGGCTCGATGCGCACTGGCAATGCAATTTTGAGATTCAATGCCGACAGCAGGGTCAATTGAATCTTGTCCGGTCGCGGGTTTAGGACTGAGGCATTGACTAATACTAGGTCGGACTTATTGACGACCATCTGTGAGATAGCTGGGATGGCAACCAGGAAGCTATAATTGCAATTAGTATTTGTTTTTTTGTAGGTTCCAAAGCATTGAAACTCACAAGACAGGCAGGAAAATCGCCAGGAAGATGATAGTCACCAAAAGATGCACACACCAGAATCGCTTCCAATGGCGCTGGAACTTTTCAGTGCGCTTCAATTTCCTCGTCTCCAATGATAGACCCCCGGCCGATTCGACATGTGCAAGTTGGGCGCCTTCATCATCACCCTTGGATATCAATGGCCCACGATGAATACCTAGGGTATATTTGGCATCATCTGAAGTCAGATATGCTGGTGTATCTGTATTCTTGCCCATGATCGCAACAATCTCGACTTGGTGACCTTTAGAATAGAAGGGGGAAGATTCTGCGTATATGTATTTTAGCGCAAAAGCACCCCCGGACTTGATCTCCTCTCCATACACCGAAGCGGGACCCCGTGGGTACGAAAAAGATTAAAAAAAAAGGAACAAAGCGGGTTTATCGTCGGAGCAGGATTGCTTTCTTAGGCAAATGACGCAGAAGAGGGGAGGGATCAGCGCTTCAGGAGATGGCGATCTGCTACCAGCCGCGGCTTATTCCTAAAAAAGGCGACACTATTCACATGGGCCGAGATGATCAACACCCTTGGACGTTGAGAGGTTTCTCGGGGTTTTGCGGGGGGAATTTCTGGGGAAGAAAGATTCTGATATTAATGGGATCGTTATACTCTTGACAATTATTTGACAAGATTGACCAAACTCTCTCAACATGTCTTTCCCTCCATCTCCCGTCTCCCCAGTGGACGAAAAACCCTATGACCTTCCAAATGGCTCCAATGCGACCGCAAGCAATATAACAAATGTCCCAGGTCGTCTCCATGCCCTGGAACAACTAGAGGTTCTCCCCAAAATGCTGCAGGAGGGCATTCTCTTCGCAGGATCTGGTGCGACACTGCTACTACAAGCTGCCATGCCCGCAATCCGTGAAGCAGGCGCCAACCACGGCGGCCACAAAGAGCTAGCCACCGAGCTTATCGATGCTCTACAGGCCAATATCAGCTACATCTCCTGCCTGGTCTTTGGTAGCCGCAGCGAGCGCAAAGTTCTCATCGATCTCCTACAGGAGGGTAATCCGCCCCTGTTGGGCAGCGGTCGCTCGAATCGTTTCGCCGAGCATCCGCCGCTGCAGTTGTGGATGGCAGCGACGCTGTACGCGACCGCGACCGATTTCTATCAGCGTGTCTATGGCCGCGTGGACTATGCCAGTGCCCAGCGCGCATACAGCGAGTATGCCTTGCTCGTGAACTGTCTGGGTCTCCCCGCCGGTACCTGGCCGGAATCCCGTCAGGCGTTCTGGTCTTACTGGGACGATCAGGTTCATCAGTTGACTGTGTCGTCGGATGCGGCTCAGTTTGCCAAGGACCTTCGTGAAAGTAATGATATGCCGCGCTGGGTGCAGTCTTTGAAGCCTTTCTTGCGGGTGACTACGATTGAGATGTTGCCCCCGACTCTGCGTGATGCTTATGGTCTACGCTCGACGGTGACTACTCGGGCCCTTTACCGCACCTGGATGGGCTTCTCGGTCGCTCTTTATCCAGCGATGCCTGATAAATGGCGGGCATACCCTTTGAAATTCTATCAGGATCGTCTTAAGGAGAAGATGGATGGGAAGGAGAAGGTCGATGGGAAGGAGGTTTAAGAATGATTATATAGTTTTCTAATGTTTTGTTTTTCTGTATATACCCGTTAATGAGAGACATGATTGTTCGATATGATTTGAAGGTTCCATTGTATTTCCGTGTAGATACATATATACTCCTTCAAGAAATGCTTTCAATTGCGCAATAAAACAAGATAGCTATAGTAATTGTCATGATTCGTTCCTTTTATCAGTCCCTCACAGTGATCCCAGTATACCACCCAGAAGCTTGGAAATATCATCAACCAGCTAAAGTGCATTAGTATAACGGACAAGCCCAAAGCAGCGAGGGCAGTACATACCGGTGTGGCATCCTCAATGAGGGTCGTTGTGTTCCCGACAAAGCTCTTAGTCAACAAGCTGTGGGCATTGTTCAAGATATCCTGCAGGATATCGATATTATCGGCGGCAAGCAACTTGGCCGCACCGTCCAGGATAGTATCCAGCTTGTTGAGGTTATCGGTAGTCAAGAGGCTCTGTACGCCGCTCAGAATCTCGGGAAGCTCCTCGAGTAGACCACCCGTGGCGACCGGGGCCGGTGCAGCGACAGGATTGGGACGAGCCTCGGGGGCAGCTAGAGCCAATGGGGCCAAGGCCAAGGGGAACAAAATCCGAGAGAAACGCATTGTGTTATATCGTTATATCGTTATTATTGATGGAGTGAGGAATGGGCAAAGGAGAAGATCGTATAAACATCCAGTGCCTTATAAACAAGCTAATCTGGATTTCCGTACGGAATAGATGCAACTCTCATTAGCGTACAAAGTACTAGGAAATTGCCCGAGGCCGTTGGTCCCGAACATGATCTAGATTTTAGATTGAGGCCGAGGGAATAAGCAATGCCATGTGAGAGGAATAGATGAAGTGCATCTGTAGGAAGCCAATGACGAATGAGAGAAGACGAGAATCCAATACGCAAATTATACGAACATTTTCCCCCGCATGTCCCCTCCTCCGCCCCCAGAAATGTCGTCTTTTAGTGGAAGATCGTCGGGTTGATCCCCTTTTTTTTGCCCTTTTTATACCCTTTTTCTCTCCTTTTTCAGGTTAGTCCTATTCGCTTGTCTCACAATGCCTGCTCTGACCAAGTCCACTTCGGAGAAGATGTTCGCTTTAGTAGTGATCGGCGAAAGCCATCTATCTTGTTCTACGATATACATATGGATAGATCTAAAAAGGACCTTGCGTATTTCGTATACTTTCTACGATGATGCCATTTATATACTTCGATATTAAAATTTAATCTATAAGAAAAGAAAGCATGTGCTTAATGTAACGGTCTTACCTTGAACTCCACCTAACGTACATCGTATAGACCTACGGAGTACGAAGTAAAAGATAAGGGAAAAAAGAAAAAAATATTTGGATATCATGTGTAAAAATTGAAGTCTTCTAGATTTCGACATCTCTCATCATAGTCATATTCATATCTACTCTGTACAAAGTACCCGTACGCAATTCATGTGGATCCTTCCATCACAGAGCTAGTGCTAGTCCAAGCACTCCCAGCGCCCCAAACGCCGACACGGCCAGCCCCGTCGGCTGTGCGGCCACGCCTTTAGAAGTTGAGCTCACCGGTCCACCGGGATTGGAACCAGTGATAGTGGCTCCCGCTGCAGTCCCTGTATTTGCTGCCGCATTCAACCCGGCCGTTGTGGCCGTCAATGCTCCCCCGGAGATCTGCGACTTGACCACCGACATGTAGTTTTTCACATCCGTTGGGAGAGCGCCGTACCAGGCTGGGGTGGTGCCAGCTTTGAATTGACTGGCGAGGGAACTGCGGTCTGCTGGGTTGATGAGTTCCCAGATGACGGATACGGGTACAACAGACAGAATCTCGGAGATGAGAGACTTGGGCGGCGGCGAGATATTGGCAAAATTTGCAGTGGTTGTTTGGTTGGCCACCAGACCCTCTCTGTAAAAGTGTTAGGTTGTTTGAAAAAAAAAAATACTTAGAAAAAAAAAGAGTCAAATACAATGCGCTCGAGATTGCACTCAGGTTGATGCCATTGTCTGTAGTATCTCGTCGGTGATGATGTTGAGTACCCCAGGCTGTTGCAGCAAAGAGGAAAACCGTCGTGAGTTTCATTTTGGTCCAGAGTGTAGAGAAGAAAATAGAGGGCAAAATTGTTATACAGTCTACGGAGTAGATAGGGCAGAGTCTAGAGTATATCAAATGCTTAACCTGCTTGGCCCGCCGATCGGAAGAATCTCTCCGCATTAGTCTGAGACAACATTCAGTCACTAAATCAATTATTTAAATTAATTTCTATAATTCTAGATCTTTTCAGCTCAACCTCGGCCAGAATCAAATGCCAGTCGGTCAGATCCTCGAGGAATTTGATCATTTGCGGGGAAATGTAGCCACTATCGTAGTATCGCATAGAGAAACTTGATGGATCTACTATAAATCCCTGTAACTTTCACATGTGCATCGAAAATAGCCAAAATACGATAGTACCTCCCAAAAAAAGAGAACAGGGCAGAGTTCTGATAGGTTACTATAGGTCATTGTGGTGGCTTCATCCGTTTAACACTTTTCTACGGAGTACATCTCCATTACACAATTACAAGTAAAAGTAAAAGTAAAATAAAAACGAGGCATCAATTTGGATATCATAGCAAGGCCATCGTAAAAAGGTCATCATAGAAAAACAAGCATGAGAAAGAGAAAGAAAACCCAAACTCAAGAGATCATCTCCAGTCAAGTTTAAACACCACCCTTCTTAGCCATATCGGCTTCAGCACCACGCTGGCGGACCTTGCCCTCGTCATGCATATCACGATACTTCTCCTCCTCGGCGCGGTTACCAGTGACAGCAGCACCAATGGATCCAAGAGTCCCCTGGGCGCGGTTCTGAATACCCTCGCCCCAGTCCTTAAGCTGACCCTTAGCCTCTTGTTCCTTGCCGGCAGCGTTCTGCTCGGCTCCGGTGCGGCGCAGGTTCTCGTTTCCGATCAAGTTGCCGACCGACTCCTTGGCAGAGCCGATGGTCTGGTCCCAGGATCCTGTGTCGCGCTTAGGGTCGTCTTTGGCAACGGCTCCGGTATTCGGGTCGGCGGTGAACGGACCCAACTTGGCGGTTGTGTGGGAGGCATCTCTTTTGGCTTGGCCTTCTTCGTGCTTGAGTTCACCCTTGGTCTGAGAGGAGTTAGTATTGTGGTATGCGTGTTGGGGCCGGGGGACTAGAATGAGTGCTTACCTGAGTGGAAGAGTCGCCAGTCACGGCTCCCATAGCGCGCTGGGCAAGACCAGTAGCTTGGTCGATGTACGACTGACCAGTCGAAGCGTTGCCAGTGTTGTCAGACATGATGATTGGATGGTAGATGGTAGATAGTAGTAGTTGGTAGTTAAGAGATGGTAGAATGTTGAAGGATGAATTGGTTGATGAAGTAGTGAATAATGAACATCATGGCAGGAAATTTCTATCCTTATATACATAATTCATAGTTATCCAAGCCCCGTATTCTAGCTCCTTCTCCAACCTAATCTTCCAAGATTGAAGTTCAACAAACTATCATGATGAACTACGTCATCGGATGATGTCATATCACGTGAATTACAGCCCCGGATGACGCCGGGGCTGAAACGAATGAGCGTCATATCCAAGCCAAGGTTTTCCAGATGGAGTTGGAAGTTTCTACAATGTTGTATTGCCTATGTAGTTACTCGATTCAGTACATTGGTATAGATATCTCTCTGTGTGATGTGATCTACAAGTCCATGAGAAAATTGTCCATATAAAGATCCTTTGTATTCAATAGCACAGCACCTAGTTGATAGAGCATACTATGATAATCATAAGTTCAATGCAAGTTCCCAAACACCAAGTCGCCGCGTACGGCGTACATAAATAAATACACATGCAATGCCACGCTCAAAAGATTAAACCCGAAAAAAAAAGGGGGGAAAGAAAAGAAAACGAGATGTACCACTACCAGTGACAAATTCCACCCTCATTCTCTTCAGCTGTCCATGTTCCACAGAGACCGACAACCTCGAGATGACCATCTGGTTGCTCGCCAACCTTGCTCAGCGAAGCAAACTTCTTGTCAGCAGGGCCATTGCTCAGCAGCCGTCGTGCCCAGGCATCAATAGCAGGCTCCCCAGTTTCATCTCGAGCTTGCTTCAGGAACGGAATGAGTGCTGTGCCACCGGTACCACGCAGCTTCTTCTTATCAGTTGGAGTCGCGCTTGCAAGGTTCGTCGTCTTCGGGATGCTTGGGTTGGCAGGTTGAAAAGGCTGACGTGCACTGCGGGACTGCAGGATGATATAACGGGAGACAATGGTAATATGCTTGTCGCGTAGAACGCGCAACATGGCTAGACAAGCGTCGTAGGCAATGCACAACGCCGAGTCTCCACGTCGCGCCTCGACAAAGGAGCGGATATTTGCTACCGAGTCAATCTGCTCCAGGAATCGCCGGTGAGGACCAGGCATGTAGGTGCGCATGTCGTGGATGAAGCTATTTCGGGCCTTGGTATCTCCCGTGCTCTCACTGTCTTTGCGACTTGTACCGGTTGGTCGGTGTTCCACTCCGAGGACGATGTCGAAGAATTGGATGAGGGAGCTTTGGGCGTTGCTGCCTCCTCCGTACTGCCGGTACTCGGGATTGTGACCATCGTCGTACAGCAGCCCGTTTGGTAATCCGGCATCACCCATGTTCTTACTTCCAGCTAGGTAAGGGCGGATACGGTTGTAGAAGACATATGGATCGCAGTTTTCATACATCCTCTGCAGCAAGGCGGTGGTCTCATCGATGGTTTCCGCTAGTCGCTGTAGGCACTCGGTTACAATCTGGGTGTTTCCTGTGCGGGCTGCGGTGATGGCCTTCAGCATCACGGGGATAGCAGGGGCCCCACGTGCTTCTATGGCGACTGAAACTAGGTAGAACCATTGTTCATCTAGAGATCCAGTGAAGGTTTGTAGGCAAGCTAGGTTTTCCAAGTTGGTGGCTGGCTCGTGGGAGAAGATCGGTTTGTAATTCCAAAGGCAGACTCCAGCATAGGTTGCCACAGGAGGTAATTCGAGTCGTTCACAGACTTGGAATAAGGGGACTGTAAGTTGAGGTGGAATCCTCTTGAAAGATAAATTAGTACATCTACTTTTTTTTGGAGGGAGACCAATAGGGTGGGTGGGCCGGTACCTCTGTAGGTGTATTGCCACCCCATACATAGCCATGCAGTATGAAGACCAGGATGACATACGCACGACGCCACTCGGCGTCTGTCTGTAGGTGTGTGACAGAAAGTATAGGGAGACGATCCACTACAGATTGTAGACGTTTGCTTAATATCAAATGGTGGAGATTCCCAATAATGTTCTCCCATTTAGCATAATAAGTGTCGGGGAGAATCTCCAAGGGCAGTTCAGGAGGGAGGAAACCGTAATCGGAAGTGATTCCAAAGTCGGAAGGGTTTGGCACGGGAGGTAACATAGTCTCGTTGCCACCGAAATTCAGGGATTCAAGGATGTTCAAGGCAATGAAAATAAAAGATAAATGCAAATGAATGAAGGTTGAGAAGATGAGAAGTTGGAATCCAGGAGGATTATATGGATTATACCAGAAAAGGTCAGAGAGGTCAGAAAGATCCGACCAGGAACGATCCGGAATCCAAAGTATGACTTTCCCCAGGCTAAATTCTGCGGAGGATGACGGAAGAGAAATAGGATTCAAGTCGGAATTATATTATCATCATAATTTCTCCAATAAATGGAATAAATGGAGTATATGGAATAAATAGAATAAATGACAATGGACATTCCATGGCTAAATAGTCAGAGTTTTTTCTCTCATCGGACCGAGTTTCAGAAGAGCACGTAATTTCACCGGGGATCCCTGGAAGGTAAGTACCAAGAACACATTTCTAATCAAGGTAAAAAGGGTTAATAAAGATAATCATAAGATGACAAGGACGATAATAATAGAGTTGAGCAACTCCGACATAGGAAGAGTAGGAAGGGGGGGAAGGAAAAGACGTTTCTTTTTAGAGGACCCCGGGGAAGTTTTAGAGGAGGTCAATGGGAGGATCAGATAGTAATTAAATAGTATAAGAGTACATTTTAGGTACATTTTATATGGCTATACAATCAAATGATAGTCTGCCAAGATAGACTGGGTGCATCCGCGAGACCCCAGTGGAGTGGCAATTTAAGCGAAAAAGAAATTGGGTGCGAGTCAAAGGGGCCTAACCCGGGAAAAAAACGGGAAATGAGCCATTTTCGGGCATTTTCGCCTTTTCGCTTAATTTGGCTTCAAATTCGCTTCACTCAGGATCGTCAACCTTGATCAAGGGGGAAACGCATGGCTGACATTTAGATTGAACCTCATTCTATCCATGGATCTCATCTATGATCTATTCTATATTCTATATTTATTTATATTGACCATTTCTCTTTTTCTCCTTTTCTTTCTCACTACCATACACATAAATATATATGCCTAATACACAAGGCATCGATGCTTAATAATAATTGTACCATTCCCACCTGGGCACCTCTGCCCACCTCGGAGTATTTCCGAGGCCCGAGGTATATACATTAGAACAAAGCATAACCCCCAAGGTACATAGTACATAGTACAGTCTTCACTGTGTCACTCTCACCTACATATATGCATGCAAAGCTCGGTAAATAACCATGGAACACATTTCAAATGAGTCTGGAAACACCCTAGTACCATTGTACCACAATCTAACGATACCAAACCTCATAACTCAGATCGAGTGGGAGCTTCGCAAGAGGTATCCCACGGACTGGCAGAAGTAAATATTGCCTCGACCGTATTATTCAGGGCGAGATTGATCAAGGTAGGCTCTATCTGATGGTCAGTTAGAGAAATTGAACAATAACCCAGCACATTTACCATCAAAGCTGAACGGTGGCCATCCATACTCGCTCAATCCCATACAAGGATCCTTGGCAAATGCAACCCAAGCTCCTAGGAAATTTATCAATCTAGACAACGTCTAGCCTTCATCGTGGAAGGGATTACCTTGCATGTATTCACTGACTTCAACCTCCCTGGCGGATGGCGGGATCGCCCTGGACTTATCATAAGTTCCAAAGACAATAGGTATCTCAGCTATCATGCGGTTAAATCAAAATGAACAAGGAAAGGGCTGGTGAAAGGGTTAGTTTCTTCTTACACCCGTGGTACGCCCCAAGCCATGGAGTTGGGCTGACATTGCTAAAATTCCCATGGTATAGATACCTCCAAGTTGGCACGTGCTGACTCAATCGAATCCTACATCCATGGATGAGTATTAGACCAATACATACATGTATGTAGTTGGAGCAATTCAAAATGAGAAATCCTATCGGCTCTTACCTCACAGATTCCCGGAGGGGACAGTTATAAATTTTTTGACTGAGCGTAGAGATTGTTGTCTCATCAACGGATGTTTGATTTAACGGTAAGAAAGCCGTGACTTCACGTTCATTACTCCCTCCCAATGTTGGCTAGGGTTCCAAACAAGGTTAGCCCAGCAAGACACATAAAAGGAAAATGAACGGTCAAGTACATACCAATTGTGCCAACTTCCCCATTTTAGCTCGAGCGGCATAATCGGAAAAGACAAGGACATTATCCACAATCGGATAAAAGCTATAACTTCCATTGGCCCTTGTTTCGACAATCTTCGTCATTGGGACTTGTCTCATGCATTGAAAAGATTCAGCTCCTACGCCACATCCAAGAACAGTAGACAGCTCATTCCAACTTTGATGATCAGGAGCTGAAGTCAGTAATGGAGCGGTGCCAGAGTGGAAAGCAAGTGCGCTAACGATAGGATCATCTGGGTACTATCAGAGATCAGTCATTTGGACATAGGTGAAAAGTCCCAAGATATTGAAAGGTGCTCACTGCGTATGAATGAATATCAACTGAAGAAGCCCCAGCAGATTGACCAAACAGAAGAATCCTATCTGGATCACCACCGAATCTGGCTATGTTTTTATAAACCCACTCGATTGCCAATCGCTAAATATCTGATTAGTTTATCCATACTATCAACCATACACTTTCAAAATTTACCTGGTCCAAAAGCCCAAGGTTTTGCTTAGACGGGTCGATATCTGGCGCATTAGGAAACCCAAAGACATTGAGTCGATAACTAACCCACAGTTTAGTGATTTGAATGGACAAAGCCCAGCGTCTCCTTACTTGAAGGTAACAACAATCAGATCATCCTGATCCTGTACTAAATTCGTGCCATCGTAGTAACCAACCGAACTGCCTCCTGTGTCATAGCTTCCTCCATGAATGAACATCATGACTGCTGCCCCGCAAAGCCCCCTGTAGCCTCGATGCCAGAGAGAAGGTGTCCAAATGTTCAGATACAGACAGTCTTCAGACATGTCGCCAGAGTTCCATATCATAGACGGAAGAACACTATAAATAGACTCATTGGAGTACCTATACACTTGGGGACAGGGACTGCTGAAGGAAGATGCATCGATGGGTCTTCGAGGTGGTGATTTAGGACGTGGTGGTGCCCATCGCAGCTGTTGAACTGGGGGCTCGGCATATGGAATTCCAAGAAACGCCCGTACAGTCTGTGCAGAATCGTTATATATTCCGTTCACAAAGCCCGAAGAGGTTATGACTCGGAGCTCAGAGGGTCGGTGACCAGCTATGGCGGCCACATTGCCCCCAATTGCGCAAAGGATGAGGAAGATATGCATTGTCAGTGTAGCTGTTTTCTATCCAAACTGTGTCTTTTTTTTAGAGCCAAGGCCATCTTAAAAGGATAGGAATCAAGCGCAAACTGTGAGTTGACTCTCGGTAGATAAATCCTTTAACTTCCTTGCTAAAGAGTAGAAGCGCCTTTGGATTACGGGGCTTGGGGCCGAGAGGAATAATTGAAGGCTAATCAAACATCATTTGGCTAGGATTGATCACCTGAGGGCTATAAAACTTGCAAAAACTTGCTCAAATGTTCTTTATGACCTCAGAGAGAAGCTTAAGGCGATGCGGGTGACGTACAAGGAATCAAGGGCTTAAATAGGAAGGTAGAGAGTAGTTAATTGCGAGGTGATTATTCTCAGTCTGTACAAATCCGATGTTGTTACACTTCAACGCCGTCCCTAATGGGATTTTTTTCTCAAATCAAGATTAATATGATCAGTGCTGGCTCCATTCGATCGTGTTCAGATCAATTCCCTCCTGCACCAACTCCCAAAGCGGACTCAGTTCACGCAAGAAAGATACACGTGCCTGGACAGCCTTGAGAACATAGTCGATCTCCTCGTCCGAGGTGAATCGGCCGATACCGAAACGGATACTGCTGTGGGCACTCTCGTCGCTGCTGCCCAGAGCGCGCAGCACGTAACTAGGTTCCAGAGAGGCAGAGGTACAGGCACTACCCGATGACAGTGCAATGTCGTTCAACGCCATCAGTAGAGATTCACCCTCGACGTAGGCAAATGAGATGTTCACGCAGCCAGGGTAGTGGTGCTCGGGGTCACCATTCAGTGTGGTGTGTTCCATAGCAAGGAGGCCCTCGCTCAGACGCTTAGACAAGCGATCAATGTGCTTGGTGTCATACTGTTCGATCAGTCAGTTATCATTTCGAAGACGGGCCAAAATTCAAGTTCATCAGTCTGCCGGCTCATTATGCGCAGTTGACATCATTGGAGTTGAGTGCCAAGTCCAAAGAACATGCAATATCCCAATGATTCCAAATAGACGTTTATTGCAGTACATAAAAATCGTGGCAATAATGGAAATAGGAAATTTAAAAAACGAGGAGAGAAAGCTTACCTCCATATCTTGGGCGGCAATTCGGCAAGCCTCACCAAAGCCCACTGCCAGATGAGGGGCCAAGGTACCACTGCGTAGACCTCTTTCCTGTCCACCACCAGTGATGAGAGGATCAAGACGGACACGCGGGCGACGACGCACGAAGCAGGCACCAATACCCTTGGGACCGTAAATCTTGTGGCTAGAAATCGACATCAAATCGATGTTCAGCTTGTTGACATCCAACGGGATCTTTCCAACGGCCTGGGCACCGTCGGTGTGGAAGAACACCTTCTTGGACCGGCAGAGACGGCCAATCTCCTCCATTGGCTGGATCACACCGATCTCGTTGTTGACGGCCATAACACTGACAATGCAAGTCTCCGGGCGCATAGCCGCCTCAAGATCCGACATGCGAATCAAACCATTGCTCTGAACTGGCAGGTAAGTCACCTCGAATCCTTCATCCTGCAAGTGTCGGCAACTGTCGAGCACACACTTGTGTTCAGTCTGGGTAGTGATGATGTGATTCTTCTTTCCCGAGCGACCAAAGAACCGCGCCACACCCTTCAGACTCATGTTGTTGCTCTCCGTCGCACCACTTGTGAAAATGATCTCCTTGGGGTCGGCCCCGATCAATTTGGCGATATGCTCGCGAGCCTCCTCGACTCCCTTCTCCGACTCCCAACCGTAGGCGTGTGTGCGCGAGTGCGGGTTACCGTAGATGCCGGTGAGGTAAGGAAGCATGCTATCCAAAACGCGGGGATCCAGAGGTGTGGTGGCTTGCATATCGAGGTAGATGGGACGGGTGCCCTGGTCCATAACGGTGGCCTGCTTCAGGATGCCGGCCGAGGGGCTCATCGCCGCGTCACCAGAGGTTGCGGATCCGGGGAGCTTGACATTCTGGGGTGCCATATGGGACTGATTCATGAAAGACTTTTGTTCCTCTTTGATGGCCGTCTCGATATTAACCTGAGCTTGGCCAACTTTCGTCTCGGAGACATAAGACCGAGCACCGCGCAGTCCGGTGGCGAGGACTCGAGGAGCCCGAGAACCATAGGTTGAAAGGCGCCTGGAGAAGGCAGAGGCCTGTCTCCAAGCAGTAGGAACAGCACTTGTCATTATGAAGATGATATGTGCCAATATCCTTGTAGGTGGGATGAAGAAGGAAACACAACCCCGACTTTTTGTTATCACCGCCCGGGCGCGGCATCTCTCAATGACTAAAGATCTCGGGAATTTCCCAATTGGGTTTATCCGTGGTGCCTGAGGCAGCACGGAGGTATGAGCTTTCCCCTTTCAGATATATTCTCCATTCTTCAGCACTTCCAGTACTATAACATATCTTCAGTTCTCTATTTTATAACGCTTATGATGATATCATATTGATTAGTTTAAAACTCCTCTTCTGACTTCAGGTATTCCCATATTCCAATTGCCAAGTTAGCCCCCCCCCGCACGTCCCAAAGGAATGATGGTCCAATGATGACGATCGGACTGGGGTTCTTTAATTTGATGGTTCTTGGGATTTTCTCGGGTAGGGCTGCCGGGGGAGAAACTGCTTTGTACAAAGTAGAGTGTAGAGATGTATGTAACCGTTCGAGGTTCTACATATGTAGGCTATTATAATAGGTGTGTATGTATACTCTATAATAAGCATAGGAACTATGGTATGTAGTAGAATAGTATTGTCCACGGGTAATAATCTGTTGGTAGTAATAATCCAGGTGCCTAATTTTGAACATAATGCGCCACACAATCATAAGGCAGAATATTAGCGTATAAAATAGTCCAAAATAGTGTGAAATAGTATAAAAGCGAAATATGTACTCCGTACAGCCACAATGGACATCAGCTCCGTACAACGCTGGCAGAGTCTTATGTCATTGAAAAGGTTCGGGTTCGCCCTTCTTCTTCCCCCCCACCTTGGCACTTTCTCTCGACTTTACCTCTCTCCTTAATCTTATTCACATCATGAGTTTCAAAGGTTTCCAGAAAAGCATTGCGCGTGCGCCACAGCAGTTCAAGGTCAAGTTCAACATTGGTGAGCATACAAAGGATGCTGTCTATTCCGATGCCGAACGCCGCTTTGATGAGCTTGAGAAAGAGACCAAGAAGCTACACGATGAGTCCAAGAAATACTTTGCCGCCATTAATGGTGAGTCTTTTTAACTCTCAATCTTTACACCCCGGTACTGACCGCGTGCGCAGGCATGTTGAGCCACCAAATCGAATTCTCCAAGGCAATCGCCGAAATCTACAAACCCATCTCCGGTCGCGCCTCCGATCCCACCTCCTATCAATACGAAGGAAATGCCGAGGGCATTCAGGCCTGTGAGGAATATGAAGTCATCGTCAAGGAACTGCAAGAGGCCCTAGCCCCCGAGCTGGAGATGATCGACACCCGCATCATTAGCCCTGCCGACCAACTCCTCGAGGTGATCAAGGTGATCCGGAAGGTTGCGGTTAAGCGTGATCACAAGAAGCTGGACTTTGACCGCCGCAACGCCACACTGAAAAAGCTGGAAGAGAAGAAGGACAAATCGCTCAAAGACGAGAAAGCACTATACAAAGCCGAGAACGATGTTGAGCAGTCAACCCAGGAGTTTAATTATTACAACGATTTGCTGAAGGACGAACTGCCCAAGCTGTTCGCCCTCGAAGCCGAGTTCATCCGCCCGCTCTTCCAGTCCTTCTACTATATGCAACTCAACGTCTTCTACACTCTCCACGAACGAATGCAGGGCATGAACATCAGTTATTTCAACCTTCAACTCGATGTTGAAGAGGCCTTTGAGCAGAAGCGCGGCGATATTAAGGAGCAAGCTGAAGCTCTTACTATCGTGCACTTTAAAACCCAAGGTGTCCGCCGCTCCGGATCCAAGCTGGGACCTCCGGGCAAGGGAGCCGATAGCAAGAGCTCCATCGGCCGAGGCCGTTCCGGGTCCACCGTCACCGATGACAACCCTCCACCACCTTATTCGTCTGCCGCCGTCAGTCCCAGTCCGACAGGAAGCAGTTTCTCTGCCGCCGCCAAGAGCAAGCCTGCCCCGCCTCCTCCACGGGCAAAGCCATCCCATCTCAGTAAGCCGGTTGAGACTGTCACCGCTCTTTATGACTACGAGGCTCAGGCACACGGTGATCTGGGATTCTCGGCTGGTGATGTCATCGAAATTGTCCAGCGCACCGAAAATACCAATGAATGGTGGTCTGGGCGAATTGCAGGCCGGGAGGGCCAGTTTCCGGGTAAGTGTTTCAGTCCTTTTATTTTAGTACATTTGCTAACGTTCAACTTAGCCAACTATGTGCAATTGAATTAGCACCGGGATTTTATTAACTTTCTAGCCCTTCTCCTTTTGCTCTGGCGCACATGTGGTTCTGAACATAGAGCGTTTTGTTTGTAAATATTTGTGTCTTTCCCCCCCTTTTTTTGTATTGTTAATTCACTTGACTCAGCTCCTCGCTTTTTGTTGCATCCAGTAGATTTGGCTGTACTCCTTGCACAAGCTTCATACATATTCTAATCTACCCTCCATGGGTACGTTTCTTTGTTTGCTGTCGAGATTCCATTTGAACTTATAGTACAATCAGTTCCTTGATATAGACATGCATCAATGAGAAAGACTATAAGAGAGCA